AACGTGTTCTCCGCTATTTTGATTTCGATAATGTAACTTCGATCGTTTCTAAAATAAGAGACGTATAACTTTCTCACCATTACCGTCATAATATTTCCGCCTTAATGTCGAATTGTGCTGAATTAGAGGATACAACAACAACAGGTAGCATATTTCCGTAAATAATCCAGCTTACACGACGGTTATTTATGAAAACAGATGCGCTGATCGCGCAAGAAAAATATATTGCGCGCTTCGATCTCGACGATCGTACGGTGCATATAGATGATGCAAAATTGAATTGTCTTCCCTCCTCTCCCCCCTCCCAGGACACGGAATCCTTCTTTCGCATCGCACGCAGAAATCGACGGTCCCACGCACGAAGCGTCGATCGAGAGTGTGAACGAGCTCTTATCCGAGGATCGTGACGCAACGCGAAGCCCGCGGCTAATCTAAAATTTCCCACGGCGTTCACGCGCGCCTTGATCTTTCTTGTTCTCTTTTTTCCTTTACGACGGTGTAGATAACTCTCTTTCTCTTTCGAACCGGGAAGAGCGTGGGTGGGCGGGCTCGGCGCGCGGTCGGTCTCGATTTTGTGTGATCGCGGGGATCTCCGTGTAACTCACGGGGATCGCTCACCGCGGATGTAAGAAAAAAAAAAAAAGGCACGTCTCGTCGCGGTAAAGAAAAAACGCGTGGGCAGCGATAGAAGGACAAGGAGAACGAGTGACTGAAAACGAGCAAGGAGACCGCCGTGCGTGCGTCGCGCACTGCTTCGGTGTGCCTCACAGCGGTCCATGGTCGGTCACCTGGCACACCGTACAGCATTGGCTTTCGCCTCTTTCCTCCTTTCCTTGTTGCGAAACAACGAAGAAAACGAGAGAAGCGTGCGAATATTAAACATCGATCGTTTAGATTTAAAAATAGATACAGGTGAAACTAATTTAAGCAGTCTTTTACGTCTTGGACGGCGCTTGGTTTTTTTTTTCTGTATAGTCACAAACATCGTCCTATTCGAACGTGTGTTCGAATGGAATTGCGAGTCTCGCGATAGAGTGAGAAGTAAAATTTTGAAGAAAAATAATCGATTGAGATTTTTTTCATTAGCGACAAGAATTCTCTAAAGCCAGAAAAAAACGCTAAATGTTACGTATTACGGCTTTTTTTATCGTGGAGAGCTTAATGTAGAGCTAACACAGAGTCAGCTATCAGTGTCATCAAAAAAGAGCAAATCACAATAATTCTTCATTCTTCAACTAGAGAGAAAAGGGCGCGAAAAATAAAATTGAGATTATTTTTGAAGGAATATAAAATATATATATATATATATATATATATATAAATTGTAAGCAGCGTTCAAAACTTCTTTATGTATGTTGTTTTCACCTGCGATGAACGGTTTAATAAATTGAGAAGAGAAGGGATTTTCAAAGAGACGAGTCGAAGGTTTCCTCGACGAAACGATTTGCCGCAGGAATCAGTCTAGACATTCGATATTGTTCGTTGTAATAATAATCATTTACCTTAAATATATCGCGCCTCATATTTCAAATTTTTATTTTATCTCTTATATTTATTTATTTATTTATTTCTCACAAATCCACTGATTCCGCTTACATTTTTGATGAAAGAAATTTCTTGTCGGAATACAAAAAAAACTTGATTTAGTTTTTAAATCCCGCATCAAATTAAATGAAACCTATTCACCAGCCGGCAATAAACGCCGAGGATCTGCCACCCTTGAATAATGCGCTCGAGCACTGCACAAGTGCGTAAAGGTCAAGCGCATGAGGGGTTAATGGCGCTCTTTAACACATAAAATAAAATTACGTGCTTGATGTTGTAAGTGAAAGCAACGCGTATACATCGTGAGATTTAATGATTTTGTCTCAAGAATATGGTTGAACGTTTTCAAACGTAACACCGCTTATTTGTAGAATTTAATTCGTGTTCTTTGTGATATACTATATAATTGCGACAACATGAAAAATTAAATTTTTTCTAGTATGTACTCAATTAATTGTATTTTAATATTTATATATATATATATATCTTATAGTTTTAATTAATAAGAATTTTAAAATTGGTTCAGAAACAAATTTTGGATTAACGGTTTAAAATTACGGCGAGCAGTGTGCTTGAGCGATTCTATTCGACCACCTGTTTGCTTCCAAGCGTCCTCGGTCCTCGGACGCTTTCGAACTGCGAAAAAACGCGCGAATTTCATCATCTTCTGCTATCATCCTATCTCATTCGTTTCTTTTTTTTTTTTTTTTACGTTGTCTACGTGAATTTTACTGTACACAATATTAATATTTGTAACTCGACAATCGCGTTTAAACTCCAATTCGAAATCAAAATATACACTTAAAACAAATTTTATAGAACATTCAGATACGATACATTACACGTTGTTTATCAAAAACATTTTATTTCTGTTACCGTCCAGCGCGAAAAAACAAACAAGTATAATAAAATTTATTCAAACGGTACGTATCTCGCGTACGTATTTATGACAAACATTTATATTCGTTGTTGTGTTACGCGTTGTCAAAAATATGGTTTTACAAACTATGCGTAACATTTATATCGGGTGATAAGATCGAAAGATGTGGGCTATGTACACGGTCATCATAAAGATGTTTCTCGAATTTCATTATACACATCGCGAGGAGATGTGAACGTAACAGATGCAACGGGACTTACTTCGTTATTTGCTTCCGCAACTTGGTCCTGACTTATTGTACTCGTGGATCTCTTCTCGGATCTTATCGTTTACTCTTTTTTCTTCTTTCCGCACTGGGCCTGGCGAATCAAGACTCCCCTTTGCTTCACTTGTGACACTGCCTCCTTCGATTTTACGATCGACACGCGACTCGAGACAAAAAAGCTAAAAACGACTCGAACACTGGACCAACTAAATGCGGAACCGTTTCTTTCGTGAAAGATTTCTCGAGATCTCTCTCTCTCTCTCTCTTGAAAATGCGTGTGTGTCAAGTGAAAGACTTGTGCGAGGGTCGCGAACCTTCCAACGATGCCTTCTGGCGAGCGCGTCTTATCAACGTGCGTTATCTGCGCGCGGGTTGACAGTCTCTTTCCCTCTTGATATACAGTTCGGTGTCTGTATGTACGTGAACGTGTCGGCTCTCACACAATACGCGATACTGCGGCGCTATATGGAGGCGTGCGTGTATATAAGTAGTAGTAGCAGCAGCAGCGCGACAGCGGCGGCAGTGGTGGCAAGAGAGATGCGTCTCTCGTGGAGGCTCGAGCTAACATTAACTAGCGCGGAGTGCAGTCGCTTATAATATGGCCCGGCCGCGAACCAATGGGATCCCGCGCCTCTTGCCAGACCCTCACTGACCCCCCTTCTCTCCCCCGGGCCCCTCGGCCTCTTCTCTTGCCGACCCTCTTGTTGTTCTCGGACCCCTCTCGCATGGCACCACCGCCTTCCACTACCACCTCCTCCTTTTCCTCCTCCACCTCCTCCTTCTCTCCTCCACCACCGTCATCGTTGCTGCTGCTGGTGCTGCTGGTGCTGCTGCTGCTGCTGCTGCTGCTGGTGCTGCTGCTGCTGCTGCTCCTGCTCTCGTATTCCTTCGCTCTCTGTCTCTGCGCGCACCCTTCCTCGCTGCGTACGCTCTCTCCCTCCGTATGTCGTCCTCCGCATCGTGAGAGAGCTGCGAGAGACCCCCCGCGTGTTTATTCCCGATTGTCGTTTCTCCTTCGCCCTCTCATCTCCGCGCGAGTATACGCACACTGGGTCTCTCTTTCCCTTCTGTTGAACCGAACTCTTTGCGCGTTTTCTTTCTCTTCTCGGTCCCTCCTCCCTTTTCTCTCCTTCGCTTTCTAACCTTTCTTTTCTCGCGTTTATCCTACCTCTCTTCTTTATCGCCGTCTATCTCCGTCGATCTTATCAGTTTTCCTTCCTTCTTTCTTACGGAGCCGCTAGCTGTGCGAGAAACGGAAGGGGAGAAAGAGAGCGAGAGAGAGAGAGAGAGAGAGAGAGAAAGAGAGAGAATAATGGCAGAGAGATCGGCAAGCAGTGAAAGAGAGAGGAGACGTGGGGGACCGACACATCGCAACATAGGTCGGAGACCGTTGCCTCAGCGCAAAAGCACCGCTGTTACGCGAGCGCGTTGATAGTAAGCTAAAGTTTATCGTTTACAGTGACGAGAAAGTATTTAAAAAACAGATAGGTAGACGAGAACGCGTTATCGGAAGGAATGGTTACTTCCTCCCGGATCGAAAATTCAATTCGATTTTTTTCCTCGCTTGACTTCTCATCGCGTCAAGCGCACGTACACCTTTCTTTTCTCCGCCACGCGCGGAAGACATCTTTTATCTTCGCGATTATACAATGACTTTAGAGATTTTTTAACGCAGACCTACGCAAATTCAACACGAAGAAATGAGTCGATGTAACATCTGTGACACTGAAAAGAATTGTTTCGCGCATGATCGAGATCGTTTTTCGCAAATTCTCGCAAAAGAATGCCATATGGTTAAAATATTGCGTTTTGTGTTGTAAAAATTGTTGCGTGTCAGGGCCGACTATAAAAAATAAAAAAAAAAAACGGATGTGCTATTTGTTTATGACGCAGAAAACCGAATTGTAAAGAACGTATCTCGTCACACGCGTCTCTTATCACTCGCGATCTCGGATGTGACTCAAACACATCTGACAAAATAAGATTCACACTTTATTTCCAGTGGAATTCCGTGTTATATTCGACCTCGCTTGAATTTTGCGTAACATTTAAATATGTTAATTTGACTTCTTCGAAACATTGTTAACCCATATATCTCTTGCTTTCGTAATTTATATCATTGAGTAATTCTCGTGAATATAGATAACTCGTTTTTTTTAAACTCGACTCGATTCATCATTCTTTATTATTCTCGAAGTTTATTTCAGTTTTATTTGGTTTTTAAAATTCAATTTTTTTTTTAGTTTTTGTTTATTTTAAATGCACATGTTTTTTAATTAATTGATGTTTATCGTATGCGAACATTTAATTCTCGTGAATATAGATAACTCGTTTTTAAACTCGATTCGATTTATCATTTTTCCCTATTATCGAAGTTTATTTCAGTTTTATTTGGTTTTTAAAATGTAAGTTTTTTAGTTTTTATTAATTTTTAATACACATGTCTTTAATTAATTGGTCTTTATCGTATGCGAACATTTTAATTCTCGTGAATATAGATAATTCGGTTTTAAACTCGACTCGACTTATCATCTTTTGTTATTCTCGAAGTTTATTTCAGTTTTATTTGGTTTTTAAAATTCAATTTTTTTTTTAGTTTTTATTAATTTTAAATATACATGTCTTTAATTAATTGGTCTTTATCGTACGCGAACATTTTTGCTATCAATTTATGCTTACGACTGATTACGACCACACTAGTGAGAGAGAGAAGCAATATATTATAATTATATTAATTATATTCAAATAAACATCGGTTAATTGACTGCCGGTCGTAAAAACTGCTCTCGTAATGAATCGCTCTACATTGCTCTACAATGAAAATACTTTTATAAACTTGCATTATGCAACAGCGTAATATTCTGCTAATTGCAATGATGAGAAGAATGACGCGGAAGAATGACTCGTAAAACTTTTACGAACACGTAAATTCGTTTTGAATCCTATTGAAGTAATCGGAAATTTCTGTTTCGGAAAATTGCAATTTACACGCGATCGATCGTTCTTATCTGATCTCTCGGAAACAATCGCGAATCTCGCTACACAGTCATTAATTACTGTGTTTAATCATTTAACTGGAGCTCCAACTACTGTGTGTTGCATATTTAAATTCGATAATAACACAGCTCGGTCACATGTATGTATATAAGCGTCACGTGATAATCTCGTTGATTGAGACAGAAATAAACGCGCGATATCGCATAACCGACTGCTAATTTGATTCTCCGCCGATTACGCGTTCGAATTCGCAAGTTTTTCATTAATTTAAAACGCGTGTGGCATAATTCGCCGATAACGTATCATTAAATATGTTCAACGGACAAGGTCAACATTGCAAATTTACGCTGTGCATTTCTGCGTCGCAGTTCTCTCTCGTACAAATTAATTCTAAATTAATTTTAATTTAATTTGGTTTTCACATATCGTCCAAATCTACGTCATAAGTGATACAAACACAGCTCGAACGTTGGAGATACACGAAGTAAAAAAAAAAAAAAAAAAAACAGGTGTGTAAACCAGTGGATTTTCTACGAATTCTGCTTTCACTCTACAAAAATCTGACGCAATTCTTTACACGACGGTGTCAGTTCGACGTAGTAACTACGTGTCAGACAGAGGTGTGGCTGTCCCATATAGTATCGTGTTTTCGAACGATATATAACATTGAAACTAAAATTAAACTTCTTAAATTCGGGACTATTGTTTGCGCTTTGCGCAAAATCCAACGGCTGTTGCGTCAACCGAGTCGAGGCTTCGAGTTGCGAGAAACATGGCGCTGTGTAGAACCGGAGTTAAGTGTCATACTACTAATAACACGGTGTGATCCCGTCCACGGAATGTTTTTTTGTCCCTCAAGGGGATCCCCGAGATTAGAAATAAAAAACAAATTCCAGAGGCGACAGAAGAGATTACCGTATCCGCTTGTCTATTCGTCTAATTGAAGTATTGCATTTATATATACATGTTACGATATAATCGCCTTATCGGCGCGAATGTCTCTCGCGAGGGGTAAAGAGTAGAATCATAAATAAATCATCAATCACATCAATGAATGACGAGCCAATAGTCGTGAGAGGAAACGTTACTATCTGCGAAACGATTATATGCGCGTTGCGTGATACGCGATTGTGTAACAAGTTGATTATATTGTTTGATTCTTGATTGGCGCGAAGAAAGCAGTAATGCGAGTCGTTGAATTAAAACATGTTTTAACCAACAAAATATTATTCCTTAATTATTTGAACAAAAAAAAAGTGAATAATTGCTGCAAAGCGAGTAAGTTGCGTATTTTTTTTTTTGTGGAGCAAGCGCGAAATCTTTCGCACACAAATTATCGAACTGTTGAATGCTGTTCAGACCATGATGATAAGAAGAAAAGATTTACGAGAGCAAATTCTCAATTTCAAAAAAAATGTGGAAATCTAGATGGGTATCGAAATTGTAAGTTTTTTGTTGAAAGAAAACCTCGTGAAGAAATTTGAGAAATATAGAAAAAAGATGAGAACAAAAAATAAAACAAAGAGAAGGTCACAAGTTTCGTTTTGTACAAACCGCGCCAAAAATACAATCTGTTTTTAACATATGTATTACGCGGTCGTTCGTTCGACTACGTGTGATCTATGGACTTATGCGAGGATTGGAAAGAAAACAAAAGAAATATATCTTGTGTGTGTTATGTACGAGACATCGATATGAAAATGATACAAATACGATTCCATTGTTCCACAACCCGGAAACCATCCACAAGAATTCTTATTATTTATACACCGCGAAGGTATCAAATATCAAAAAAAAAAAAAAAAAAAAAGTCTAAGTATCGACCGTCGTCCCGTGCACATGCATCGCACGTGTTTCGAGTCGAGAAGTGCGCGTATGAGTATATATTTGATCGAAACACAACGGTGAGATGCGAGATCGCCGCAATTGTTTGATGTTTGATTCGTGATTGGCGTAAAGAATAGATATTTTTACGTGAACTATACTATCATCGTGAATTTGACACATTATCCGCGAGAGAGAACTGTCAATTTTTTTACTCTTTTATTAGTTTCTTCTTCTTTTTGTGCCTCTGCGTTAGATCTTGAAAAGAACCAAGAGCACGGTCAAAAATAAACGGTAATTATATTTTTTGTAAGTTTTTTTAACGTATCACGTTTGATCTCGTATAATTTTCATTTCTTTATTGATTGGACATCAAAGGAACCTTGTAATTATAAAATAAGTCCAAAAACGATCCCTATCACTCTTGTCCGAGGCTCATTATTGGCTGTCTTTCTTCCTTTTTGAATTTGCTTAAAAATTTTTTTAGCCTTTTATATCTTCACGTATTATTACTTGCAATTATATCCGTAATTATTTGTTTACTTTACAAAGAAACAACCTCTTGCTTCTTATAATAGGAATTGAAATGCGAGCGAAACATATGTTGTACGCGAGATATCGGGTGCACCTTTATATTTATCGCGCACATAATTACCGGTTATTTCTGGCTTCGCTTAGCGGCGTGTGTTTCAGATAACGATAATAGAGATAAATCTTCGTTGTGCCTTTAAGGTCGATAACTCGACTTGACGACGAGTTGAGCGTGGCGGAAAGAACGTAATAAAAGTGGCT